GGCTCACAATTGTGGCAGGCTGCTAGAAGGCAAGTTGGTCCTGCCACGGTGCCCCTGGAGTACCTGAGGGAAGGACTATATGGAAAGGAGGGGGAAGGAGTTGACAAACACCCTCTGTGAGCTTGATTGTCCTTCTGGCAAATTGTGGGTTTTCTGCAGAACAATCTGCCCACTGTGCCTCATTGCCAGGGTCAGTTGCTGCGACATGTGAATATGCTAAGCACATACACACACAGTCAGACTCCTGCACTCAAGCCTTCCGAGGGCCACATGCAGCCAGCTGGCTACCGGTTACCCAGGTTACTAACATCCATCCGCAGCTGTAGAAATTGTACATGCAAAATATTTTCCTGTAAGACTTCCCCCTATTTGGGCTTAAAATGACAGAGGGAATGCTATTCCACAGCACACAGGACATTTACGAAACTCTAATACAAGCTCTCAAAAATATAAGGCGCAAGCTGGCCAACCGTTTGGTTGTGCCTCACCTTGAGCCTTACACAGGAAAAGTGATTTCATTTTATACTTAATAACACCTTGGGGAACAGGAAGCTGCCTTGTAGTGAGGCAGCTGGTCCATCAGAGGCAGGCTCTTTGCTTCTGGACCCTCACATGGGGTGGCTGCTCTGGTTTCAGGAAGGAGATTTCCTCTCATACCCTGAGATGGCAGGTGTTGCACCAGGGGCCATGATGCAACAGGCTTTCACTAAGAGGCTTCTCTGCTCTTCTTGGACCTGGCGGTGCGCTTCCTGACAGGAAAGCCAAGTACTTCAGATTTTACTCCAAAGAGATCATGAATTTTGGTGGCACTTCAGAGGCATTTGCAGTCGGTTTCATAAATGCGATGGCACGTTCCTGTCACAATAAAGTTCTTCAGTAAAGTTCTTCAGAGCATCATAGGTCTCAGTGTACTTTCATACAAATATATATATCCATTCTCAGTGTTTTCAAAGCAGGATGGATGGATGTAATATTTGCCATGTGGGAGGTCCCAGTATGGTGACCTGACACAGAAAGCACCACAAAACAGGTGTGGAGAAAACGGATAGGGAGCAGCTTTTCGCTTAAAAACGAAAACCTGGGGTCATCTGATGAAGCTCAATGGAGGGAGATTCAGAACAAATAAGGAAGTGCATCTTCACACAGTGCCGAACCTGTAGAATTTGTTACCACATGGTAAGTGATGGTCAGCAACTTAGATGGTTGTCAAAGGGATTAGGAAATTCTGTGTAGGATAAGGTTGTCAATGGCTACTTCTTGGCTACGTATCGCCTCCAGTATCGGGGCAATAAGCCTCTGTTTATGGTTGCTGGGGAACATGGGTGAGGAGTGCTGTTACACTCATGTCTTGCTTGTGGGTTTCCAGTAGGCAGCTGGTTAGCTACTGTGCAAAGAGAATGCTAGACTAGGCAGGCCTCTGGTCTGATCCAGCGCGATTCTTCGTATGTTCTTATGAGTCATTCACACACGACTGCACATTGCTGTGCTCAGGGCTCTATTGACAGCCAGGCGACCACCTGGGATGTTGGATTGTGCCTATGAAACACCTGGTATGGACTATTGACTGAACTATCTACACAACAGCTCAAACAAACTTCACTTGCAGTTTGCATGGCATGAATAAATATAGATTTACGGATCCTAGCATGAAGTATATTGTTCTATATGACATGGATAAATCATGCATGCAAATTGTAGATCAAGATCGTGAAATGGGCTAAAAATGCAATTAAAAACAAGGCATTTAAAACTGATGGAAGGGGGGCTGCTGAGAGTCCTCACCTGATCCTCCTTTTGGTTTCTGGCTGTCCCTGGCACGGCAGTGCCTCTCTATGGGCCTGCACCATATTGTCAGAAAGTTTGTACAGCAAGAGAGCAACACAAAAATGCCTTGGGCCATGAGTGAGAAACATAGGGGTGGCACATGGGGGACTTGGGGGCCACTGCTCCCCAAGAACTCCAGGGGCCACACTCCTGCTAGCACCATCATACTGCCAAAATTTTACAGTGGAAAATGCCACCAAGATAAGCGGCTTTCCACCAAACTCTGCTGGTGACCCATTCTGGAGACTTAAAAGGGACAAATTAGTTTCCGCACTAAATTTGTTCCTTTTAAACCACTGCAGTGGTTTACAGAAGAAATTGGACAGAAAAGTATGGATGCTTTTGCCACTGCTGTGCTGCCACATTTGGTGGAAGAACCATTCTGGTGAAAGAGGCTGAACCAAAGAATGGAGGGAGCACATCTTGTCCCTCTCTGTAGTTGGCCTGTATATTTTTATTTATTTAAATTATTTCATTTAATTATGTTATTTTAGTTTTTACTGTGTAGGCTGACCAGAGAATATCCACACAGAATGAGAACTACATGAATGTGTAAATCGTCTGTATCGACTTTCAATTTCATTGCAGAACAGAGACCCAAGCACCATACAAAGCATATTTCGTTTCCTGCTTTTCCACTACATAACCTCTAGGTGGCACTGTGATATAGAGGAATAGCAAAATCACACAAGAGAAAAAAGTATTTTCTGTTAATTTTACAAGTACTGTTGCATTTTCCCTGCTCTAAAAAACCTCACTGAAAGTGTGGTTCAAAAACAGAATTGAAATTAGAGGATCATGATGTCATATATAGAACCTGTGAATGCACCTGTATAGGGAAAAAAATCAACTGTACAATAAATGCCTGATGTAGAAAATATCAAAACCGGTATACATATTCTTGATTCTCCTCAGCCTCACCACTGACCTTCTTCATGTACCCCCAAATTCCACCCCCACATGGAAGGGGAATAAAAAATGCTCCCACTTATTCCAATGGAGTCATTTTTCCTGTTTTTTTAACCCTGTGGAGAAAGGGGTAGAATTTCACTAAAAAATGAGAGCAAGCATTCAATATTTCTGTCTCTGAGTGGCTGATTCCTACCTGAATTGGGACTGTGTTCAGTTACAGTAAAGAAAAATATCAAGATCACCTGCATGATTAGCAAAACATGTAGTTTGTTCCTGCAATTTATTTCCCCTGGGATATGATGTGTCTTTCACATACAGAGCTGTAGAGATACTAGGGCAACCGTGGACACAGATAAGATCCTACAGTAGAGCATTCATGATTTTTCAGTTATTTTTGCTTCAGAAGTTCACATCACAGGATAGCAAGCACCAAAGAACAAAGAAGGAAAATTTGTCACCACATCCTGACCTATGAGGAAAGCAGCCTCAAACATATAGTCAGTCAGATAAAAGTGAATTCAGAGCTGTTTACAAATCCACATTAAAGGTATTCCTATCAATGAATGCATTTAAAATACATGCATATAAACTAAGTGTAAACATGTCATATTCACACACTGGTTTATGTGGTGTGAGGCCACAAAGCCAGGCATTTAAACATTCTGAAAATCCTGTGTTGTGTGTCCCCCTGCCCCAAAGAAAAAAAAATCTTTCAGTATGGAGCCACACTGATTTAATTACAGTGTTTATTTTCTCTCCTGTATTATGCAGATGTAATGCTAATTCTACAGGGCACTAAAATTCTTTGACAAAATCAGCAGATGTAAATGCCAAACACACAGGGAGTGGTAGCAGGAACAAGGCAGGTACTGACAGGACACCGAAGGCAGGCAGAGCATGCCTGGAATTCTAGCGTAACTATGCCAGCGAACAGTGGGAAATGTCACAGACACACGACCTGCAAGTGGCTCATTTGCCTGGTTATCAAGCGAGTGAGTGTTTCAAACAGCGCTAGTGGCAGTTCCAGGTAACCCAACATACCAGAAAGAGAGGCTTCCTTCCCCTTTGGGTAGCTTATGCTGGACATAACAACACACACACACACACACACAAACACCTGTATGTTACAAAACAGGATTACAACCCTGGAATAAATTTTAAATAAGCCCAGCACAGTCTGCTTGCATGATAGTGATGGGTAGTGGGGGGAAATGTTGCATCTGTTCGTATGATCCAAAACATTTTAGTTATCAGCAAAGGATTACTACTAAGACTTGGTGCTTCATCAGTCAGTAGAAAACTCAAAATTCCAGTTATCTGCTACAGTAGGAGAAGTCATATTTATACCTTAAGGCATCTTTTGCTGAAATAATTATTTGTTTATATGCTCAGGGCAATGCAGTTTGGAACTACAAAAGCTAGTTTGCAGCATGTCAATTTCATGTCAATGTCAATGTTTGCATGTCATTTCTACAGTGTCTCCCTACCGGTTGAAAACTGGCTGGACAAAGAACTTGTGGTTGAATTAGTAACGTGAACTTTCAGTCCTGACCTCTGTAACAATGACTGTCTTTTCCACCCTCCACTAGATACTAGTTCCAGTTTGCACATTACAACAACCCAAGGCTTTTTCATACCCTGGGTTGTCATAAATAAAGCAAAAGTAAACATGCTGAATCTCGATGCCTGACTGCAGCTAAGTGGAGTTACCCAATTCGGAGATGCCCTGTTTCTGGGCTGCTTGTGATGTGCCTACCAGGTGTTCTAGGCTGTAAGGAAAGAGGTAACCCACAGTTGTAACCAATGCTTAAACCATAGGACAAGGTTTCGACTCAATAGTTCACTAGACCATCCTAAGAGGGTGGTGAGGAACTAAGAATACCTGCATCAGAAGGAAAAGAAAGGTATCTGGACCTTTCATGGAGTCGAGTCCCTAATCTGGCTGTAAGAGGAAGATCAGCAGGCAGTGACAGTGATGGAGGAGAGGTGTCTGAATCAGTCCCATCTGGGTGGCAATAGTGGTTAGCAGAAAACTGAGGGCTCCAAGTCACATCAAATCTTTGGAACACCAGCCTGACACACTGAAGCAAGAATCCTTGTTTATGCAACTGAAGGATATAAATAAATCAGGATAATCAAAGGACATCCTGTTCCCCCTATCTAATCTCCTAAATTTGAATTTGAGAGAAAAGGTCAAAGAGGAAGCCAAAGGTTGTTCATTTTAGGGTTAAGACATTAGGTTAGTAGATGAGTCATGTCTGTACCTGCAAGTCTGCAAGCTGAGCAGCTGACTTCCCCTTAAGGCACAGTGCCTGAGCCATAAAAGCATTCAAGTCTTCCAAAGAGAGGCTGCCCACCTGAGAAAAAGAGAGATTTTTTTTTTAAAGGAAACTTAGCTCAGAGCTATGAAAAAGTTCATTCTTTTCTCCATTATCTAAATTCCTTCTTACAGGAATGTCCATCTTTTCACCATGGTCTTATTCATGCACATATTTTGAAAACCCAGTTATACAAACAAACAAACAAACAAACAAAGAAAAGGCTTTCCCAACACAGACTCCCTGTCCTAACTCTGCTGCTTTCAGCAACCCCCACACAAAGCTCAGCTTACTGTTTTGTCTCTCATTTTTCCTGGATAATTCTATAATGAACTGTGCATATGCAAATAGCAAGAGGTACTCTTGGTGCTTGTTGTTCTAAATAAATTATTCTCCCCAATCCTTTCCTTCCCATGTTGACCTCTGGGAAAACTCTAGAGCTTGGGCCCAGCTTTATGCTGGATCAACAGCTCCCATGGAAGTGGACTTCCCCAGCCCCTCTTTCCCACAGCAGCCTCCTCTAAGCCCTGAAAGGGCAACAGCAGGACTCAGCAGACTCCTGCTGAATGAGATGAGATGGTGAGAGGGAAATCTCCCAAAAAGGGGAGGGACACACGTGGAGCCCTTCCTCTTGCAGGGGACTTGACCCATGATTTGTACTTAATTTGGAAAATATTATTTGGTGCAACCCAGACACAATTGCTATTGCTTTGGTGATTATGAAGCAAAGCAATCAGAAAGTTGTAGTCAGAAGGGGATCAGTGTGGAACAACATATAATACAACCCTGCTTCATATGAACATACATGTCAATGTGAAGATATACTGTATTTACTGGATTTAAGTATTCTTCAATTTGATTTATTGACTGATTTACTAAAGTTTTTCTAAACCGATGACTACAGATGTCACGGGACAGCGTACAAAAATGAGCAAAATAAAACAAACACGACAGCATCGGACAATTAATATACTAAAACCCCAGTTAAAATCAATTAAACATTAAAATTGTGGGAAAATAAAAAGGGTTTGGCTGGACATCAAAAAGAATACAATGGATTTGAAGCTTTGTGGTTGGTGGTTTCTGGCTATAGAAGTGAGATGGCATATTTAGGGTGTTGTAATTTGCTTTTAATTCTTTAGATGCACGCCATCCAATTCTAGTTCTGCTCCACTGTACTATTACCACTGCACAAAGGATTTCTTTGCTCTTTGTTAATCTGTACTGCTGTTTCATGCAAGACAGTTCTGGAGCCTGCAAAAAAAAGTGAGGGGACCTTTATTAAATAGCTTCCTTAATGTTTGACTGAATTAATAGAAACATGGATAGAAAGCTGATAGAACTAAAGCAAGCTGAGCTGCAATGCTAAGTACAAAGGCAGGAACAAAGACTCGTGTGACAGCAATTTCCTTCCCTTTCCTCTCTTGCTGCAGGCTATGGGAATTTATTCAGTTAAGAAACTGCTGTGACTGGTGTCTGTTGTCTATTTTAATGTTACCCTTAGTTTAGACTATGAAATTAACTGATAAAGAGAAGATAAGAGCATAAGAATGGCTGTGCTGGATCAAACCAAAGGCCTATCTAGCAAAGCATTCTGTGGTGAAGCGGTGGGTGGTGGGTGCGGGTGCTCGTGGTCCCCAGCACCTGGTGTTGAGAGGCATACTACCGAGACTGCGGGCTAGGAGCCACTGCTAGCCTTATCTTTCATGGCAAGGAGCCAGGTGTTCTACACTGGTCTCCACTCTGAATGATAGGCTGAATTACTTCCTCTGAACATGTGTGGAAGGTAGTGCCCCTTGACTCAGCAGTTACTCAGAATGCACAGACATAGACAAGAAGGCATCTGGAGAAGAAGGTGTGGTACCCAATCAGACGTGAGCTGTGTCATATCCTTTCCCAGAACATAGGTAGCATGTGTGCAAGCAATGCAATAAATAAATAAATGTATCAGTGCCCATTTGAGGTACACACAATGAGATTTCTGGAAGTGTGATTTACTGTTACCACAACAGAACTATACCGCTTTGAAAAGGGGAAATGTTCTCCCACTTCAGTTTATCCCTCTTAAAAATGTATATGGACAGAAACTCTGTGAATCAGAGTTTTTCAGTGTACCTTGTAGGCAAGGCTTCTCCTGTCCTGTCTTCCTTAGCCCTTTCTTGGACCAAAATATGAAATAAAATTCAACTAAAATTTTGCTGGAGCATGACACACAAATATTTAAGTCTTTGCAGAGAGATTTAAACAAAAGGAACCTGAACTGGAATGGAAACCACATGGTGTTCAGACATCCAAACAAAACATGGGGAGGGGGTCAGATCCAGGTTTGGTCACACTTTAAAAACATGGCAAATTTAGGTCCCATCAATTTTAGTGGGTTTACTCAAGTTTGGCAAATTCTGGGTTCAACCTCAGATGCTTTGCAAATATAAAATCATCAGAATAAATGGATATTCAAGTCTTAATGCACTCTAACCAATGTGACCCAGTACATCAGAGAAGTACCAAATAACCTGCAGAGCAGACAAGTCAACATTTCCCCTAAACCATTGACTACCAATTAACTTACTCCTTTATTGAGGTGGGGGAAAGGTGACCCATTGGAATCATTCTTTAGATGCCCCCCTGACAAGTTTCCCATGCCAAAATCCCTCCTATGTCCTTGTTTGATTCTGGATAATCATCCATGACCACAGCCTGTACCATTAGTTGTGCTGGATGCAGAACCACTTGTAGATATCACTTGTGCTTCCTCAACCCTCCAAATGAGTTTTGGTGGTTATGGGAGGGGTGGGAGGAGGAGAGCACAGGGAAGTTGTATTCTGCAAGCGTTGTGCTTTCACTGACATAATAACAGTTTTGGGTCCAAATCTTTACTCATATTCCTGTCTGCCAATTCTTCAGTTATGGGATGAAGAAAGGTCAAAGAGCCCAAAGTAAGATACAATAAGGTCCTGTTCTCAAGTCTCCTCTTCCCAAAGACCTTTGGCTGTGTCTGCCCCAAGGGGGTGGTGTGAGTATGCAACATAAGGCAATGGTAGAAAGGAGGGTATGAGGATATCGGAGCCATAAAAGATAACATCAGGGAAAACCAGAATTCCTTACATGTAGACCAAAAGTGCACATTATTCCACAGGTATAAGAGCTGTCTGTAGACCAGAACGGGGCCCTAGTTTCAAGGTCGGGAAGATTTCCTGCATGTGTGCATGGTTTTGAAGCTGCTTTTGATATTAAGGACTATGGCATGTCCACTGCTTTTGTTGAACCACATATCTGCAAGAGACACCCCCTCTAGCAAGTGTTTCATGGGGCCATCAAGACGTGGTTTAATGATTATACATAATACAGAAAATAGTGCTCTAATTCCAAATGCCCAATACATTTTTTTTTGGTAGAGGCCTTTGTTATTTATTTGAGTAATTTTTTACCCCGTCCAATACCCAGTGGGTCTCAGGATGTCTTACAGTTCAAATCCCATAAATACATAGATACCCAAATAATACAATAGAAATGATCCACAAACTGAGCATAAAAGCATACTTAAAATTAAACATTAAAAGTACGAAAGAATAAAAAGGTCTTGACCTGGCACCGAAAAGCATATAATGCTGGCACCAGGCGGACCTCTCTGGGGAGCGCATTCCATAGTGTGTGATGTTGCACAGCAAGAGAGTTTCATCCAAAGCAGCTGCCTGGATTATGATAAGAAGCATAGCTCTTCTCATGCTCTTGTCTGTCCATAAGAGAACAGCATCGCCTCTGCTAATGTGTTTGTTGTTCCTTGTTAAGAAACCACAATCTCAATATAGCAATTAGACCAACAAAATGATTTAGGCTCCTTACAGGCAAGGCTTCTATCACGCCATTGCCCAGCCTCATTCACTGAATTTTATGGGGCTTCCACACATCATCTTCTACCTGTAGTGAGGGATGTGTGAATTTGCAGAACTAAAGTTCAGGTTTCTCTGAATTCCACCTGGAAGTGTGTTCTGATTTGTGCCCATATCAGACCGCAAGCTTTAGGTGAACTTTGTGTGTATTTTTAAAAAGTAAACAATCTTTGATGTGCATTTTTAAAATTACACAATTAAATGCTTTGTTCTTGTGGCATCACAAGTTGGATGTACTGTGGGTCCATGTTTTGTTCCAAGTGGTGTGAACCTGGAAAATTTTGGTCAAAACCAGGACCAAATTTCTCATTTATCCTTTCCTGTGTTTTCTACTACATCTTCGGCAAAAATTCAGTTCAGGAGCAAAAAGACAGAATAGCTGCATCATGTCCTCTGACTGGTAGTGCTGGGAACCTTCTGTCTAAGGCTACAATCCTATACATACTTACTCCCACTGAATTCAGTGGAGCTTCCTTGTGAGGAAATATGCATAGGACTGCACTGTAAGAAGAGCAGAAATCAGTTCACTTGCTACATTAATCTATCCACCTGTCCATAATTTAATCATCTGTACGTATGGGTATGACGAGATGTTACAAAATTAGAATTTTCTTTACTTGCAGTATGAGGTAGAGCAACAGGGTGCAGACAGCCCCAGTGGGAGCTTCCAGAGCCTGGAGCTCCTCTGCCACATCTTGAAGTTGAAAGCATGCCAGGAATGTGCAGTAGCGGCGCTTTTCATCTTCTGGTCCTCTGCCGAGCCACAGCAATCTCAAACTAGGAGTGCCACCTAGGAAAGACATCTGCCATTGGACTGTGATAGGAGCAAGCCACGCCAAGCGCTGCTCATCGAGCTGTACCAGGAAATGATGACAAACTTCTTTTTTCTTTCTTTTTTCACAGTTTACAGCAACTACTTACAGTGCAAATATGTACAGCTCTCAAACACAAGACATACCAAAGACACAGCCACTCAAATCTAGGGGCAGCAGGGCTGGAAAGGACCTGTCTTACTGTGGCATAGGATTATGAGGCTGAAGAGTTGTAAAATTGATTTATTAGCTCAGGCAAAAGATCAGAGAGTTTTGAGGCTGCTTGGCTCTTTTTGCTTCCTTTTTATACACACTTCAGACTGTACTCCAAGCTGTCTCAAAAAGATCCCCTTTAATCTCTCCCCTCCTCTCTCACCATGCCACCTCTGTACCTGTTGCTAGTCCAAGCAAGCTGCAATCTGGCAGGCAAATTTCTGGGCCTCATGTTACACCAAGGGAGGGGCCAGGGCTCAGTGGTAAAGCTGGAAAAGTAAAGTGGTATGCCTTGCATGCAGAAGGTCCCAGGCTGGATCCACAGCACCTGCAAGTAGGACTAGGAAAGTGCCTGCCTAAAACCCTGGATAGCCACTGCTGGCCATCTGACATTCTCCCAGGTCCTCACTTGTGGCTCTGTTCCTACAATATTGCAAAGGAAGGGGACACTGTATTCTGCCCCGCCACTGGACTCCACACTGCCAGGTTTTTGGTTTCTTCAGGAATTCTAAGTGCACCCTGATGTGTGGGCACAAGAGCTTTGCAGCACCCACAAGTTCTCATTCATTTTGAAAGCACCTCTGTGGCCTTCTCTAAAACAGAGAGACTTGCTGCAGGGTGGGGTGTGCTCTGATGTACAAACAGGGCAAGACATGTATCTCTATGCTGCTCTGCATTCTGGAGATCACTACTCTTCAGTCGAGAGCACAAGAGTGCATGTGGATAACAGACCCAAACTGGGACCCCTAGCATTTATTGCAGGGGTCTGGAACTTCTTTCAGCCCAAGGACTGAATTCCATTTTGGAGAAGATCTCAGGGGGCTCATTCAAGTGATTAGTAGGGCCAAAAGCAAAACAGATGGGGCTAAAATAGCAACCATACCAGCCTTTTAAAGTGCAAAGTTCTTACTATCTTCCAAGAGGCATTTCAGCCTTCTGAAAAAGGGGGGCTGGGGAAGCTGCACCAACATCAGGAAACCACCAAATGAGTGGGGCTTAGGGAAAAGGTGGCACAGCCAGGGAAGGGGCCACTGCTCTCTAGAGAACCCAAAGGCCAGACTGCAACCTCTGGAGGGCCAGATTTGGCCCCTAGGCCTGAGGTGCCATCTTCTGAGTTTGTTAAATTATTCTCTAAAGAACCAGTATTAATGCATGGAAAGTCATGTATATCCATTGCACGTATTGTTTCTAGGCTTCTTTTATCACCCCTGTCCCAGTGTTTATACTGTATCTTGTCAGTGACTGGAAAAAGAGGACATTTGATTGCTAGATGACCTTAGCCTTACTTTGTCCTTCAGGGAAACAAAGATACCAGTTTTCAGAAGGATTAAGCTGCATTTGATAACACATCTTCCCCTTTCTGTCCCCCCACCTCTAAAATTACAAACAGAAGCTGCATTCCTTTGGGTGAACCACCTGGCTACTATAAATGATTATAGTGTTGAAGTGTCAAACAGTGGGTGAAAGAAATGTTTGTTTATTTAGCAAACAAAACTCACTTAACCAAATGGTACTTTTGCCCAGGGAGACAAAACAGAAAATAAATATTTTGACCACCATCCGCAAGACAAGTTTGCTTTTATATATTACTTATATATTCCATAAGAAAGTTTTCTTTCACATATTCCAGGTGTGAATATATTAGGGTCCCAGAATTGGAGAAAAGTTTTCCCAATTCATAAGAGTTGAGGACAACCATAATGCAAGTTTGCAAAATGTTCAGCTTTTGAACAAACTATGGGTACTTCAGGGAGGGGCTGCTTACACAATTGTGTCAATGGGACTCCCTGCTTATGTAACAGAGATTCCTCACTTCCTATAGAAAGCCTCAACATGGGTGCAAATGCTTGTTTTTAGAGCAGGACAGGTCAGCAGAGCTCCCTTGCACAAGCTCCACTGACTTGCCCCTTCCAGAAAACAGGAATTTCTGCTTGTTTCTGGTTGCTTTCAGAAGGACTGTATCTCCATTGTGCCAACAGCGGGTTGAGCTTGTGGAAGGGGCACAGCGCTCCATCAGATGTTCCTCTATGTGTGGTTCTTGATATAGATATATAATAATTTCCTCTCCCTGGAGGATGAAAGCAACAGCACTAGCTAAAGACAAACTGGAATAATTAAGAGCACAGCAACAACTCAGCTGTGATAAATAATGGGGCAGGGATGCCTGGGCTTGTAGAGGTGAAGCACCTGATTTTTCCATTAGCAGGCTTCCCCGCTCCCTCTGGGCTAATCCTTGCAGGAGCTGGGGAGGGGTGGAGGTGGTGGGATGGGCTTTCCCAGAACCATTATCTAGTCTGAACTACTCTTCTTGCAATGCAAAGTATTTGGAGGATGGTCTCAAGGCTAAAAAGCAACAGGAACCAGTTTGTTCTTCTGCCAGTTTACCCAATGTCTCATCTAAGTGTTTTATCTGGGAATTTTCTTGTGTTGAAAGTTCATATGTATTGATGAGTGAATATAGCTGAGCAGTCCATTTTTATGCTTTATATCTTATATATTTCTGTTTTTAAAAATGTTCTATGAATATTCACTTTTCATCCCTGACCATTGCATCATTGGTGACAAACTACAAGTCACTGATAGTACTAATCCTGGCAAGCATATAAAGATTTTATAATATAATTCAAAACATGTTTACTCAAACATATTTACTGAGTACAAGTCTTTTTCTTTAGTAAATATGCTTCAAATTGCAGCCTTGAAAGCAATGGGAATAGGATGAACTTTTGAGTGAACAGACATAGGACTCCACTGCATATAAATGAAGTTGAGTGAAATGTATTCATTTCTAGTAAAGTCCTAATACATTGTTTATATTTCTGCTGCAGTGGGGTTCTCTGTGTCGACAATCCTTGTTACCCTTGCTCAGAGAGCAGCACCCTCACTGGAGTCAAGAGCGGTTCTCCTTTTCAAACTGTGTTTAGTGAACCACTTGGGGGTCTGGAGAGTAGTGGACAGCCAGACGATCTTCTATCTGAAGCAATCTACTTGGCTATGTTGGAGTGCTCCACACTTTAGCTTGCCCAACATGGAAGAAGAGGGTTTTCTATAACATGTTGTCTGTTCTCATGCACAGGCAGTTGTGGGGAGGTGTGGGGAGAGGGGGATGGATTGTGGCCACTACATGTCAGTACAGACCATCTAATTATGGTCTGTTCATAATGTATTGGTGAGTGGATATAGCTGAACTTTCACAGCCCCTCAAATATGCTGTTATCATCCACTTTTAAGTTTTAAAATCCATGTATAAGGTACCAGTTTCTGATCTAAATGAAATATACTTGAATCTTTTTGGAGAAAATGTTTCGAGATGACAAAAGAATTGAAGATCAAAGTTGTGACTATGTTAAACAGTAGCGAGTCAATACCAATAGCAAGCACAGAGCAAGACTTCATACTTGCCTTTTGTTTCCCTTAATAGCAATAGAAAAGTTCATGGACAAATGAGATGGGAGCAAATTTATATAGATTCCAAAATTAGCCTTTAAACAAGCAAACAAAATGTTACATTTGTTTTTACTAGAATGACTTTGATTGAAATGTAGTAACTTCTTACCGGAGCATTTTAAGATTTAAAAGTGTCATGCAGCCAAGCTCCTTATTTGGTGAGCCACGGATTCATGTTGCAGAAAATAAAGAGTTTCATGAGAAAATTTAAGGCATACAAACATGGACTTGAGGTTTTTTTTGAAAAATATTTGTTTTGGAACTGAACCCTAAAAATAAACTCTGGGAGTTCTCCTCTTCTTTACTAATCTGCACCGAAATAGAAGTGGACAGCCTTTCATTATAGAATTAGAGCAAATATACTTGAAAGGCAATTTATATTATAAAGTTTTGCTTCCAGGCATTTTTGGCCAAAATTCCTCATATGTCTACACAGCCACATACTTTTTATTCTTTGTAAAGCATTTTCTGAGAGTGATAGACTGGTGTCAAAGCATCTTCCTAAGAAGAAAATTTCTCCACTTTATGAGATGCAAGATTTCTTCCAAAGCTGTGACTGCTGTATTGCTGAAAAGTCATGTAACGGAATCAACTGTATTCACTTTGCTTGATTCCAGTCTGGGTTCTCTTTGGAGAGCTGCATCATCACTATACAGCTCCGACCTCCAAAACAGTACCGACCTGCGGATCCATGGGTTTGGGGGCATTTCTATACACCTAACATGCAACTAATGTAGCAAGATGCACTACTGTAGAGAAATCCTAAGCTTTTTAGGTTCCTCATTCTCAGAGCTTAACCACACAAGGCAACGTGCAGTCTAGTCTTTTTCTTTTTACTTACAAGGAAGCATTTGGAGCCTGGGGCCTGATGAGGCTCCAAATGCTTCCTTGTAAGTACATGGGCAGAACAGGTTTAAACTCGTCCATCTAAATCATATCCACCTATCCTGTGTGGGGGTTACAGGGTTACAGAAGTCTGAATCCAGACTAGACAAGAGACTCTAACTGGAGGTGAGGTCTGGTTGTCCTAAGTGGGACTCCACCTCTTCCACTGAAGACCCAGGTGACATTTATTGCCAGCGGTTGCTGTGGCTGCTTCTAGAAAAGGAGAAGCCTTAGTAAATTCCAGACTGGACTACACTCATGTACTCTTTGTAGGGCTGCCTCTGAGAATGGTCCAGAAACTTCAAATGGTTCCAGATGTGGCATACCACTTGTTGGGGGAATGTCCATTTGGGATCAGCAGGTCTAGAAGAGCAGGTGAACATCAGACCCATACTGAAAGAACTATGCAGATTCCCATTTATTTTATTTGTCAGACTTTACTGGCTTTGGTGCCAGTAGGGCAGGACTTTACTGGCTTTGGTGCCTAGGTGTGAAACATCTTTTTCAGGTAAGCCCAAGTCTACTCAGTTAGGTCAATTAGGTTTTGCACGGGCCAAAGGATATACTTTTATTTAAACATGTATATGAGAATTAATTCTGTCTGGACCTTTGTTGATCTTTTATGTGGAAACTGAACTAGGCTGCCATAGATGTTTGTTATTATTTTAATGTCATTCTTCTGTTTTTAAAATGTGGAATTCATGGGTTGATGTTAGTTATTTTTCTATGTTGCAAGCCTCCCTGAGGGCTGGTAAAGCCATCTTGGCAGGCTACCCATTTCAAAAATAAATGCATTTATCCAAGCTGACCTTTGAATGCTGTCTGGGTCTCCAAAACCAAAACATTTCAAAGAATATCTGAGCAAGATTACTTGTCTTTAACTGTTAAATATCATATTTGCTTCAACTTTCAGTGCAATGTTTAATTGATTTTAACTGGGGTTTTAGTATATTAATGGTTGTATGCTGTGAGATTTGTTTTATTCTACTTATTTATTGTAAGCCGTCCTGATACATTCTGTAGGGGATGGGGTAGAAAAGCTTTAAGTAAGTAAGTAAGAAAGAAAGAAGAAATTTCATTCTACCTGGAAGTTGCTTTGGTTGTATTAGGTCTGGTTGCTGTAGGGAGTTCCCAGGGTATACGAACCACTCCTTTACCACAGGATAAGTTCCATGGACATCTAAAGTATAAAGAGCAGAATCAATGAAATCAGGTGAAAATTACATTTTACATGTAGATGTTTCAACCTCTTGAATTACAAGAAAGCACAGAATTAGGTTGCAATCCCACAACAGTTTAGGAGGGAGTAAGCGCCACTTATATTACTTCTGAGTCAAAGTGCAGAAGATTGCACTGTTAGGCTGCAGTTTCTACTCACTCACATGGAAGTAAGCTCATTGTTAGTGTATTTAGGGCCAAATGGGTTAAGCTCCAAACAAGAAGCTGGAAATGAGAAGGGACATTATTAAACTCAGTCCTGTAGATTTGCATAGCTAAGATGTGACACAAGACAGAGAGCAGTGTGTACTGCTTTAACCACATCAGCGCTCTGGGCAATTCAAGTGAGCTGTTTTCCCTTGGAAACAGTGCAGGGAAGTTGCAATCTCACATTAGTCAAGCTCCATCTTTCAAGGTTGTATGTTTGTTCCAAGCTTCAAGAGAACTGAATGAATAGTTCAGTTGCTCCCAGCCTTGCCTTCGTTGTTTGCCTGCCATACATTAAGATTTTCTGGAGAGCGTTTTGCATATCCTGCAGTTTCAGAGCTGTGCTTGGTGCAAATGAGAGAGTAAGAAGGCCTCTTCTGTGTCCATTCACAGATTCTGGAATCCTCCCTTGAGAGAGACTTCCCTTGCCTCTCATGAATGGCTCTTCCCCACTAGGAACATAGGAAGCTGCCATATACAGAGTCAGATCCTTGGTCCACCTAGCCTTCTATTGTGGACACAGAGGAGAGCAGAGACTTTCCAGGGTTTCAGGCATGGCTTTTTCAGGCCCCACCTGGAGGTGCCACGGATTGAAACTGGAACCTTCTACATGCAAAGCAGGTGTTTAATCATGACCCATTGCTACTGTGTGAAAACCTTTCGGTTTAGACAGCCCTTTAGCTCTCGTTTTTTATTAAACTTTTGTCTGTGTTCTTGTAATGTCTTGATACCAGTTCTTCCCTGAATGTATTTACAAATTTGCTGCTGTTGTTCTTTATGGTTGTTAGCCACATTGGGTATGATTCATGAAAAAGCAGAACATATTTATGACAAATAAAGATACTTTCATTGATTTAGAATAAATAAATGCTCCTTAAACTTTACATTATCCTGTGTTAGGTCAGAGGGGCACCAGCACTGAGTTGTTTTCAGAGCCACATGAAAAGATCTTGATTTCGGGAAGCCCTTCTTCACTGACCAGCCATGGTTTTATGATACAACCTTTTAAACATATTATTTATTATTCTCCCTGTTTAATCTTTTTATTGTTCACCATTCGAGAATGTGTTAGAAGTGGAACAGTACATCAATGTTGTAAATAAATAATAAAAACAAACATGTTGCACATCTTTGTTTTATGTGACATCATTTTTGTATAATTCTTGTGTAGGCTACTTTCAGTGACAGTTTAATTTTGTTTTTCTAATTATACAAGATAACCATCTGAATTCATGATAGAAGGAGCAGGGTCATTTTAAAGCATACAGGCTTCTACTAAAAAAAGCTGAGCTGTTGCCTTCAACTAAACTTCACCTCCCATCTACTGACATTTCTATGCACTACAGAATCTTCCAAGGCTTTCAGGAATCCCACAGACGCTTCCTTTTTCTTCCCTAAACACAATATGGGGGATGAATTCCTTCTGCAGCAGTACAGACAACCAAGTCCTGGCCAGCCCAGGTGTGTGTGGCTGGAGGAACTGTCCACCAAACCACCAGCGCTTAGGAAAAGGTAGTGGCCATCTGGGGAGCTCCAGAGAGCGAGGATAGAACCTCAGGTGGGCTGGATTTGGGACCTGGGCCTGAAGCTCCCTAGTCTGTTTCCCCTGCTCACAGTGGGAGCAATCACGTGGGTCGCACCAGCATATCGCTCGATTCACAAAAGGGAGAATGTTTAGAATTCTGGTCTATCACGCCTTCTGAATGCCTGTGTAACATGGCATGGCTAAATATATCCTCAGGCACAAACAAGCCTTGCTACATGTATGCCTATTACACATAAGGCTAAAATATGATCAGAGAACTGTTATTTATTTATTTAAAATATTTTTACCCCATCCTACATGGAAATCGTCCCAGGATGGCTTACAGTAATATATTTTTTAAATAATTTATTAATACACCTTAATAAATGTTAAGGTGTCATCCTAAGTTTAAACGGGAAAAAAGGTCTGGCTGGAGCACACTGGAAGCTGTAGGCCTTTATTCTAGCTAAACCTGCATAGGACTGTGTCTTTTTGAGGACACAGTAAGGGGGCGATGATACATTGTTTGAAGGGCAATACAATTTTGTGGATTCCCAGACTTGTGGACAAAGTTCCAACCTCGTAGCTGGGAACCAGAGCTCCAATGTCACACCTTCTTGTAGCCCACCCAGAAAGAACCAAGCATGGTGCTCTCTGAGGTCAGGAAAGTGACCTCAGAGGTGGGCCAAAGGGGTCATTTCAGGGGACAGGGAAGAGGCTAGACTGAACAAGGTGCAAGGTATTTTGGAGCACAGAACTTTGATTGACCAGTTTGATTAATCAGGTAAAACTGGAGCCCTGCATAAATCAATCACATCCTAGAAAGAGTGCATAGCATTGCAGTGTCAGTTGTAGCTCACAGAATACTCCACCCTGACTCTTGCTTTTTGATGTAAACAGATACATTACAGGCAGGGCCAGTACTGGCTCCAGGTTTTCTAGGGTTTTTGGGAACAAGACACCTTCAATGGACCTCCTCCCTCAGTGAGTCAACCTTCCCACTGCCATTGCCACCAGCTCTATCACCCCTCATCCTCTCTAATCCTTGATACCATGTGCTTGTTTGATGGGGGAAGAGCCAGTATGCAAGTTGGCAGTGGCATCTGCTGCACTTCCTCCTTACCACCACCATCCTCTGGAGCAGAGAGAAGGGCAGGTGAACAAGCTGGTTGCCACAGTGAAGAAGAGGAGGCTGTTGGAAGTGGGCACTTGCTAGGATGTAGGCCCTTGGCAGGTGCCCAACCATGGCTGCCCTTTCTGCTGGCCCTGTTTAGGGCAGATCTTCCACTTGGATATTGTCTTGCAGGATCATGCCAAACTAAGGAAGTTATTTCCTAGAACCATCACAAATCGGCATGCTGCTTTTCTGTGAGTAAAATTGCACTCTTTGAGAATCCAAAAAACCTATGTATCAACATTCTCCTCCTAAATTCTGTGTTGACTGTCTGTACAGTTTGAGAAGACACACACACATACTTCCTGCTATATTTCTAACACAAAATTCATTGTTTAGCACTATTATTGGCTATCAATTTGAAAAAGGAAGAAACGCTATGGGGGCAATCCTCTCAATTTAACCTAGGATTTTTATTTCAACCCCTTAGAATTTTTTGTTTGTTTGTTGCTGAAACAACAAAATGTTTCGGGCTCTTTTTAATCTCCTAAGTTAGTCTAAACATAACCATTTTGCTCTGCTTTCTGATCAGTAACAGCTTTCATCAGTATTTTATTACAGCACATTAAAAAATTCCTTAAAAAGTTCAACTATGCAGCAGCATGCAAATGCACACTGTTCCTGTTTTAATTATTTCTAATGGTCTTCTCCTTATTAATTACATGTAGAATGCCTACAGCACCAAGGCCTAAATTTCATACAGATGTGAGACTCTCAAATGTGGATTCCACTATTCACAAACATCTTTTGAAACACAATTGAGTAAAAATGTGGTCCAGCAAGTGCTCTTTGCTCCCAACCTCAAAAATTACACAGTAAATTCCAGTACAGCCTTTACCTTTTACAGATTCCAGCAGGATTGAATAGATATGCTGACGGGCAAGCTGGTAGATACGTGCCTGTCCAGGAAGTTCTGCATCCTGTTCATCTTCCAATGTATTGCTACATTCAACTTCTCCAGAACTCAGGATGTTGTACACCATATAGTTTTCGGCTCTCACGTGTTGCTGTTTTGCTATCTGTTCTCAGAAGAACAAAAGGGCTCTCTTCATTTTTGTTGTTCTCATTTCACATTTTATAACTTCGGGAGACTAATGAGGATTTAACAATAGGGGGAATGGGCACATTAATACATTTCCTAAACAAAAGACTTGCATCAATAAGAGAAAAGGTAAGGCTACTGGTTGCTTCACAAACTGAATTTTTTAAGAATATGAATACAATATGCAAATATAACTCAAGACAGAATATGTGTAGCAAGCTAAGCAAAACCAGGACATTCGTGACTACTGTATATGAAAAAAAAAAAGTTACCTGAAAGATTTCCTGATCTGAACACAGTGGCACTTCTTGTTGCGTTGATGCTACTGAGTGATGTGAGAAGTCACAGGGAAGCCACGGAGACTGCTGCCCAGGCAGGAGGTAAGATTCTATTCCTTGGTAAAGTATAGTCTTGTCCAATCCCTGAGGCAACATTTCTGCCAAAGTGATCACACTATCATATGAGCGTGGAATAGTTGAAATGTAATTGGCCACAGCTAGAATCATGCTTGACCTTTTATCAGAGCACTGACTTTTTCCAGATGATGAAGCTATGCATTTATTCCGAAAACTTTCCATAGCCCTTTCTGGTATGATGTCTGTGCCAAGGATGCAGGCCAAAAGGGGAAGATCTGTTAAACAGAGGCCCAGCATACTGCAAAGATTCTGTCTTGAGTACGTGATAGTTTCTAGTTTCTCTAAACAGAGCTTATTAATGGAAAAATAGGGAACTGTGTCATAAATCAGATAGTCAGTGTCTTCTCCAAGGATTCCCAAGCAATTGTTGTGCAGTCCATAAGATGCCACTTCATGGTCTGCCTCTTGCAGTGAACATCGTGTCTCTTGACCAAGGGTCTTCAAAGCAAAGCATGTAAAAGTGGCCAACCCAGAAGGAATAAAGAACATTCCTCTCCCAGGCTGCTGCTTATTGATCTTGAGGAACTGAAAGATCCTGGCTATTTCTTTGTTATTTTTTAATCGCCGCTTGACCCATTCATCCCGCTTCTTCTGCTCCACCAGGCCATCAAAGTAGAACACCAGTTTGATACCAGCTGCTGAGAAGGCCCTTATGAAACCATCCAGATTAGAAAGATATTCACACCATTGGCCACCACACACCCAAGATTCTGGTGTGTACCACTGTCGAAGACAAGACATCGCATCTACCACCAAAACAGGGACTGATCCAGGATACTTGCTCTGATGGTTTTCAGCCATTTCTTTCAGGTTCACTACCATACACCCACCTGGACAGGTACTGGTCACAAACCAATGCAAGCCTCTAACACCCATACTTGAGCTCTACGCAAAATTCAAATTCTGCAGCAATCTACAAAAGGAAATAAGAGAAATATGAATTAAGACAGTTTCAGTAAACAAGGCCATTACAAGGAGAAATTACTTAAAGCAGCCTTTCCTAGCCTGGAGCCATTCAAGATATGTTGGACTACATCTCACATAATCTCCAGTCAACAGGGCCTTTCAAGATGGGACTTGTAGTACAATATAACTGGAGTGCACCAGGTAGGGGATACCATAAACTGAAACTATTTTCCTTAGTATGTGAAACTATTTCCAAACCTTTAAAAGGCCCTTCCACACTATCCAGTTTGCACACACTTTTTGTAAGAACACTTTTGTTTCTTGGTTGTCCCTCCAAAGCAAGTCAAGATATCTCAACTGTCTGAGGAGGACTGGATTGATCAAGTACCAGTGCAGTAATGATGAATTTTGAAGTGTGGGTGCTCATCATGACATCCCTATAGCCACAGCCTGAAGAAGAGTTCAAACCTTCAGCAGCTGTGTTGATCCCTATCAACATGCCAGTTCTAGCAATTTTCATTTCCATCCAGAATGGATCTCAATTGTTCATTCAAGACCAGGTCATCCCAAAGCACTTTGTATTACAGTATTTTTATTGAGAAAATCCATTCATTTGTGTAGACTCAACAAGATTTTGTAGTTCTTCACTTGGGAAAGAATGTTGTTACAACTGATGAGATTGCACTTCATTGAAGCATACATAGTTGTATCACTTGGGTATCTGAAAAGATGTTTTTGTCTACCAAATTACTGTCCAAAACAAGTATGAGATGTGAGAAACTTGTCATTAGTATTTGAAACACAGAGCAATCATGTTTTTCCCTGCTGGATTAAGGCTTCTTCCACGATGATATTAACGGAAAAGACATTCTACAGATATAATCAATTGTACACAAAAATACAATTTTGCATACTTTGGCCCAGTCATCAATTCAAACAGAGACTGCAGCCAAGAAGACTGAGAATTGGAAAAGCATCAATGAAAGAACAAGAAAAGATCATCAAGTATAAGGATGTTTTACTGGATACCATGGCCAAGATCATCCACGCTATCTTGATCTCTATGTATGGATGTGAAAGCTGGACAGTGAAGAAAGCTGACAGGAAGAAATTGATGCATTCATAACAAGGTGCTGGAGGAAAGCTGAGTATCCTGTACTGACAGAAAGTTGAACAAGCAGAGCCTAGATCAAAGTAAGCCAGAATGCTATCTGTAAGTAAAAATACTAAAACTGAAGTCACACAGTGGAGAATACAGCAATGCTAAAGAAGGTTGAAGGCAGAGGAAGAGGATGAAGACCAAATACGAGATGGATCATTTCCACGAAGAAAGCCAGCCACAGCCTTGCGTTTTCAAGAGCTGTGCAGGACTGTCAAAGACAAGGCACTCTGGAGAGTATTCATACATACAGTAGGGCTGCCATAAGTCAAAGATGACTTAACACCGCATAAAAACAAAAGCAACACAAGCACTATATAAAGCCATAGAAGATCAGTGTACTAGTTCCATCTGCATAGCCCTGGTCTTCCATTAGATGCAGCAGATGGAACATTTCAGGATCCAAGGAATGACCCAGTTAGTACCATGCACCCAAGCTTGTGTTTCTTGAACGGCAGCCATTAATGCTGCACAACACTCTGTTTTTGAAACTGATTAGCCTTCTGAAAGCAGTCTATAACATTTTGCTGAACGCAGCTGTTGAATAGGAAGGCAAGTCAAAAGTCCCACTGGAGACTGACATACCTCAAACAGCTCTTTGGAAGTCTGACTGTACCTTTTTATCATAATTGTATCTCATTCTTCCCCTCACTGTACCCTTGCTAAGAGCTATGAAAAATAGCCCTGATGTGAATGATTTGACATCCCTTTACCCTCAAATACTCAACATGTAAACTCAATTCAATCTCCTACCCTTTCCACTGTGTATCATCCGGGTTACCAAACGTATAAAGCTTACTTTAACAGAAATAGCCACAATTCAACACTGAAATGAAAAGGAATCGTTTTCATGTGGCTGCTCTCGCACTACTGCCTTTGATTTCACTGGCTCTTGCGCAGACATGCCAGTGCTTTATGCTACATGCAGTTCTGTACCATGTTCCTTCCGTATGAAACCAATCAGTCTATGCCAAAACATATTTTTGTTGAAATAGCTAGATGATTGAATAAATTTGTTTGTACGATTAAATGCATGGGTTCAAAAGCGATATGACCCTAAGGGATCCTGTGGCTCACCAGATGTTGTGGACACCAACTCCTATAGGACCCAGCCACCACAGCCAATGCTCCAGGATGATGAAACATACTAATGTCCTGGATCAGACCAGAGACCATCTAACCCAGAATCCTGTTCAGATAGTGGCCAACCAGCTACCCACAGGAAACCCACAAACAGGACACGAGAGCCACAGCACCTACCATCCATGCCTCCCAGCAACTGGCGTATATAGGTCTCCTGACCCTGATACTGCAGGTAGCATATATTCATCAGGGCTAGTGGCTGTTGATAACCTGGCCCTCAAGAAACTTCTACACTCCCTTTTAAAGCCATCTAAATTGGTGCCCATCATTATACCTTGCGGAAGTGAAAGTCATGGTTTATGTGCTGTGTGAAGAAGTAATTCCTTTCACTTTTTCTGATCTGGAATGACCCCAGATTCTAGAACTATGAGAGAAAGGGGAAAGTGCTTCCCTATTCATTTTCATTTTCTGCACACTGTGTGTAATTCTGTTCACGTCTCGTGTCCTTTCTTCTAAGCTAAACTGTCCCAGATGGTGTAACCTTTCCACATAGGGAAGTTGTTCTAGCTTCTTGATCACTTCAGTTGCCTCTTTCTACACTTTTCCCAACTCTGCTGCATGATAAAAGGTGGAATCTCTGCTTACTGGAAATTTAAAGAATGTAAGGACAGAACAGAACCATGCTTTCAAAATACTTTTTGAAAATACTTTTTCAAAATACGCTGGTGTCACACAGCTATACCTGCTGGCGCGGTATTTATCGCATGCCATGGTATCCTCCCAGGTCCCCACCCCAAAGACCTTCCCTCCGTTTCCTTAAAATAACAAGAAAGGAAGAAATGAGGAACAAACGTTTAAATTAAGCCGGATCATGTCCATTATTGCCAAAAGCCCCCTGCCCTTCAAACAGTATTGCTTCAAAATGTCCTACTGTGATGAATGGCATACAAGTCTCCTAAATAAATAAATAAATACTTATGAGAGCAGAGTCATTAAAATTTCAGCTAACCATCCTTTCTTTTCAAAGTCTAGGGGTCTTTTAAAAAGGCAGTATCTCTCCAGAAGCAAATATGGTAATTCTGGGTTTTGATGATGTAACACTTTCTTTTATGTTACTGAAAAGAAATTCCCCTGATTTTTAACACAAATAGTTAAGAAATTTACTACACCTTTTAATTAGGCCGGTATCTTTTTTTTCACACTGCTGATTTCTCACATTTTCAGTTACAAACTATATCTGAAGTGTTACATTAAGTACATTCTACTTTTAAAAATGGTGATTAAAGATAGTGAATGTGCAGCTTTAAAAGTTGCCTGTGGGTTTATTTCCGAGCTCTATGTTTTTAAAATTCCTGCTCTTCACGTGCAACTTACAAGGCCCTTTTCATTGTAATGTTTGAAGCAATCTAAATCTAACATGAAGTTAATGTTTATAGATGTAACTAATGTGCTTCATAGGTGCACAACCACGAGGTTCTTTCCAATGCCCTCCATGACACTAGGTTTTGCCATATATAGTGATCTGTATAAGTGTAGGGTTGAGCTAAGAAACTCAAATATTCCATCCGAGTATAGCCTTAATAATTCATACTGGTGCTATAAATGAATCCACAAAAGTTTCTAGCCTGCAAAAATGTCTGCTAGTCTGCAGGAACTAGCAGAGAAGTCTGTTCTGCAGCCCACTGTTTCCAGCCTTCATCTGCAAGCCTGCTAAATCACCCACATGCAATTCCTCACCACCACTAGCAACTAGCTGAGTGCTTAAATACTGTTCTATCCAACAATCCACCCTGTTTCTCAAGATATCAGTATAAGTTATGTCTATCAAGGGCCACAGCACTATTCTGTATCATTTCTCATCATCTTTTTAATTTTTCTGGCTTTCATTCAATAGTTTTGCAGGCTGCAGGACACTGCTACTTCTATCCCATCCACACTGACTATGGCAGGAAAGGCAAAAGTTGAAGTCTAGCCATTATGTTCAGTTATTTGTACATAGAGGCTTTGTCCATAAATGGTAGAAAAATTATGAAAGATGGAGTTTGCACATATTTCTTATAATAAAATCTCAATGGACAGCAGCATTTCAACCCACATGAATCATAGTTCGTGCCATATTATGCATGGCAACTGAGTGCACAATGTACATTGCTTCCAACCAGGTGGCATTTTAGGGCCAGATAAACAGAAACTGCAGAAATGAGTTCGCAAAAACGAAAGTTTGCATTCTGCCCACTCGAGTCCGTGTACAAGGACCCAGGTTTAAGGAAAGACAATAAATTATTTGATAATCTACAGGCTTAACCTCCTGTTGTGGTGAAACTGGAAACTACTGGCGTAGCCATCATTTGCCATGCTAAAAAGGTGGGCGCCCGATCCTTGCCCGCAGGAGGCAGAGGACACCCCAGACGAAACTGCGCTCGGCCCGGGGCGCCGCGGCTGAGCGCCCGTTTCGGAGCAAGAAGCCACACCCGGAAGGCTTGGCAAGCCGCTGCCGTCCCAACGCTCGCGCCCTGCCAGCGCCACTAACCCGACTGCACGGCCTCCTCCGCTTCCTACTCGTACAACAGCGCCAGAGGGCCCAGTCTCACTGAATCTCCAGCGAGACTTCCGGTTCTCCGTTGCCTTCATAAAGTTCATGCGTGGTACTGAGATGCGGAGGAAACTTAAAACTTCGAATGAAGGAAGGAAGGAAGGAGTGAAGGGATGCTCCCCTTTTTCTTTCGTGACAGCACTTTGAAATAATCACACACGCCCCCTTTCGAATATAATGTACAAAAGAAGCTACGAAAGGGTGGTATTTTGTTTCGGTGGCGAGATTTACTTCTCTTTTGTCATCCGACCTCCTCACTAGTTCTGACAACAGGGCACAATATCCAGCGTCTTATTAATTTTAGTTGCACTTATTTTCAGGGGAATCCACTGGATTACACTCGTGCAGCCTTGATCCCATGCATATATATATGTGGTCGTAAGAACCCTAGTTCAGTTGACCAAGAAACCAAAGAGCACTGTAGTCGGATGGTGAAGTTATATATATGGCAAAGTTAGGCGGTGGCACATGCACCCAAACAAGGATGCTTGGAAAGGTGAGGTTTGCCCGTACCACCCCAAACAGGACTGACATGTTTGGGCCTTTGTCACTTGTATAATTTTCTGGGACTGAAAAGGAAGAAACACCAAATGGCTTGCAGGTGCTGGACTGCAACCCCCACCCTCACGGCCCTCAGCCCGTGCGATCCTTAACCATAGCGGCTGGGAAGATGGCATATCCTATAACTGGGGATGATAGCAGTTATAGTCCAACATGTTTGGATGTTAAGGCAGGTCGTCCTAAATAACGTGTTTAGGAGCGCTGCGGTTGAAGATGTACATTCATTTCAATTGAGATTTTGAGAGAGAGAGAGACAGAGAGAGAGAGAGAATCCAACCGGAATCGGAAGTTAGGTTTGTGTGAATCTTTCTGTCGTTTTATCTCTCTGCAGAGACGCCGACGATAGCGGGGACGGCGAGGTGGGATTGCGCATGCGGAAACTTTTTCTTTCCCTCTATGGTTTTCCCCGACCGAGAAAGTGCTGTGGCAGTCACATGACCCTTCCACCAGCTGCCGAAGCATCATTCCCGGCACCCTCCACACCCGTCCAGAATAGAGGCCAAGCCGAGAAGGCCGGGCGTGACGAGATGCGCTGCGAGAAAACCGCGCTGCGCTACACGATGGCTCACATGCCCAGTGCCCGTATGTGCGGATATTGGAAGTCTGAAGAGTCAGCTTCCTTCCTTGACAGCCGCAATTTTTATTGCAAGCAAATTAAGAGCACACGCCTCTCCTATGTGATGTTTTCAGATGCGTATATGTGCATACATTTCTTCAGCTATGACAGGCTCACTCAGCTCTATAATCATCATCATATAATACGTATTTCATATTCCCAAGAACCTCCCAGGGGTCCTTTTTCCCATAAATATCCTTTTAAAAATACTCTCTCCATTCTTCAGGATCAGCAAATTAGATTCAAAAGAGAAACATTTCTCTGATTTGTCATTCCAGCCAAAGTAGAATATTGTTTAGAATTGTCAATCTCTAAATGTCCTCTAGAGTTAATTTTCACAAATAATGAACAAGTTCAGCTTCCTCTTTTTTCTCCTGTTGATAGATAGGTGTTGCTCATCGTTTTGTGAAAATGTACTCACTTTAGACATTGTCTGTTCGCTTTGCTAAAGCTGGAACTAAGGGACGTGAGACAATACTCTTAAAATTATACTTGTCATCTTAAACATTCAATGATTTTAGAAATAGTCCAAGACTTGTTTAAATGTCCCTCCCACTTTTCAACACTCCTCTTATTTTTGCTTCTTTTTTATTGGGGTTCTTTTCTCTGTGTCCCTTTCTTGGAACTGGGCTTTAAAAAGATGGTTTCCTAGCAGCAGAATGCAGAAGGCCCATTCATATTACAATGGGCAGAGAGGGAAGAAAGAGGCTGGTTTGTTTAAACTGCTTCTGTCTTCATTCACAGCCTGATATCCACGGGCATTGTGCAGGCCACAATGGAACTAAAGGACGTATTGTGGCTGAAAACAAATCAAAACAGAAGAAGCGATGATCAGAGAAAAGAGTCATGCAACAAAATTGTCCCCAAAATCGAAGTCTTACATCTGAGATTTATGTTACCTTTTGGCTGCTTGGCCTATTGACCGGTGTTTCTAATAACCACTAGAGTTTAATAAACAAAGCCTCACATGGGAACTTTTCTGACCATTTGCAAAAGGCAGAAAAGGTACAGCTAGGGCCATGTTTTGTTCCTTTACCATTGCCCTTCTGGCCTTGCAGGAGTTTTGCATGCAAGGGCATCAGATGATTCTCGGAAGCTTGTCTTGAGCAGCAGGTCACATAAAATGCTCAGTTCAAAAATACCCTGTTTGGGACTATTGAATGTGCTTCCTCTCTCATTTTTCCCCACCCTTCTCCCTCTGTCTGTCACAGCACATGCACATACACAGAGTTTAGTAAGATCCTCTCTGAAGTTCTGAGATGATCACATAACCTACTTCAATCCAATAGGCAACAGGTGGAAGCTTGAATAACTCCACATATTTTCCCGGGGGAGGGGGAAACGGGCACGATGGGGAGGCAATTGGAGGATTAGATCAGATGTTATTGCCAGTGAAAATATTAAACAGAGCAGTGCTCTGGGGAACACAGATTAATATATTTAGTGACTTTGAGTACACAAAGGCTTAGCATTGTGGCCATGTCTGAATGCCTGTGAATAGGATGGAACATATGTGGCCTGTCACTGCAGGTGCCCACATCTGTTCTTCTCCAGGCAGATGCTTGCCAAAAAAAGGGGAGCCTGCTCCAAAAGCAGGGGCTCTTTGCCTCATCCCCAAACTCTTCTTTCATATTCACTTTTGGAAAAGTGGTAGTGCTTTAACTTAAAGACCAAAAAAAAAAAAAAAAGGATATGGAGCAAGTACTTAAAAAGAAATTGTATGTTTGAACCTGGAAAGAACTGGAGAAGAGACAGGCACAAAAGAGGCACCGTAGAAAACAAGCAGCAAAAAGTTTTTTTTTCTAAGGCTTGAGCTTACTCCATTTGAAAATAGTCCCACTGAAATCTTTAGGATTTGCTTTCAAGGATCAGGATCTATGGAGCTCCAAATCACACCCCAGGCATTAAGAGAGAGCAGCTGTGAAAAGATGACTGATAATATACAAATCAGTACACTGTGATATGACCTTATAGGATAATACAATTGTTAACAGAAGTAATACAACGATCATACTTCATAATGAAAATTTAATTGGCATCTCAAGATTTAACAGAATTTAAAATGGGAAGAATAATATTTCTTCATTAAGTTTCTTTTAAAAACTAGCTTTTGAGGTGATAAAATATTGACATTAAAACAGTAGACAGATTTACATAGCAAATATATTAAAAGCATTCAAACCTCATCTTACCCATTTTATTCAGATATGTATATCACTGTGTTCATGAGGGCAGGCATTACTATTTGAAGACAAGACACTCTGTACCTGCTCATGGTTGTTAGGATGATGTTTATGTTCCTTGGGTTCACAACTGGTCCCATAGTGCAAGTCCTTGCATTAATTAAGAGTCCTTTGAACACTTATTTGATATTTGAACTCAAGGAGATTTATAGTTCACAGTTTGTAACATCTTATTTATCACATTCAGAAATCTAGAGTAAATTGTATCAGTTTATTTCTGAAATAAGTGATGTCCTGGCTCAAAGATGATAGGAGAAGGGGGGGGGGGGGGGAGAAAGGTGGTGTGGATTAGCTATGATTACTTGTTGATGAACAAAATGCACTCTTGTTGAACACATTAGAATTCTGTTTTTCATGATGCCTAACGTGAAAGCCAGGTTCCTGAGGTAAACCTGTAGACCAGATTCAGGGTGTGTACATACATGCTTATTTATCACTAGAATATCAGGCTAGGTGGGAACACAGGGTAGCTTCTTCTCAGAAGCAACACTGTAAAACAGTCTCTGTATGGAAGTCAGGTTGGAGCAGTCTCCCCTCTTGCTCTCTTTTGTTCCCCATGGATTTTTAGCATTTTAAGGCCGCTACAGAGAAGTCTTACAACTACCAGGATGCCCCGGGCAACCATGATGTGTGGGGAATTCTGGGAGTTGTGAATGTCTATGTAAACATGTTTAGCATTGTAACCTTAATCCCGAAGTGTCTGAGCTATGGAACTCCATAGACCAAGGCATTTAGGGATCGATGTGCTAAATCAAGCCAAGTTTTTAAGATGTTCTTCTGCTTTGCAGAAGTTTTGCAGTGTTTACATTGTTCTTTAATGTTTCAGAGTTTCTTTTCCACTTGTAATGGTCAGTCGCCTTGGGCGGCCCACCTAGGTCAAAAATCGAGTCCCAAATTAAAAGTCACGCAGCTCAAACCCCTGCCACCTTCTTCGGCCCAGGGCACGCAAGTGCGCAGATCATGAGCGCCCAACCTAATCGGCACAATCCAGACGTTCGTTCGGCCAGAACCCTGGGCTCGTGCGCATGCGGGCGAGCGACTTCCCGCGCTGGCTCCGCGGGCGATCTGGCGGAAGGTAGGAGCGGAGGGCGGCAGGCTCTGTCGCCTGCGGCCCTTCTGGGCGAGGCCGCTCCAATTTGCTTGGCCTGGAGGCAGCGGCTCCCTAGACGTCACCCTCGCCGGCCAGCAGCGCAGCTGGTTTATTTGCTCGAAGGCACCGGCAGATGTTCGCTGGGTAGTCATCGGCACGCGACTGACCTCAGCCCCCTCGCAGGAATATTCAACCAATAATCCTCTCCAGTTTGAGGAGCCGAGCGGAGAGGGCGAACGGCGCACCAGACGGTTCCCCCCACTCCTCTCTCATACAACTCAAACTTCTTTTGGAGACCCACCGGCTTGCCCCAGAAGCTAAAATGTACTAAAACTAGGAAGGAGAGAAAGAATTCACTAATTGATCAATCTTTCCCTTTCCTTCCTTTCTCCATCCGCCCCCCCCCCTTGCAATCCGTCCCACCACAAGCCACGTCGGGGCCACGGTCAGATTTGCACAGGGAAAGGGG